CTGAACTTAAAACTTATCTCTTCAAATTAGCATATTCTTTGTAAATTATTTTATTTTGTCGTTGTCTTTGTCGTTTGTTTACTAGCGCTTAGAACAGATTTGTATTTGCGCTTTATAAATAAATATTATTATTAATATTATTATTATAATCTGAAATGAAATAAATCAATCAAGTCAGACTACCTATAATATGAAGTAATTTAAATGGTTACTGGCAGTCTCAGCAGTACAAATTCAATTCACAACACACACACACGTCCAAAAAAGACACACACACACACACACACACACACACACATGTCCAATACGTCATCGTATTAAAAAAATTCGTACAAAATGTTCTCCGTCCACACTAATATAATACGGCTAGCCAGCGTTTTCAAATTGTTCCACTCTGGAGACCGTATTCGGAAAAAAAATCGTTTTCGGCGAAGAATTTTTCCGGATTCGCCCGGACTAGTGTGGACGGTAGTCCTTACCGGATAAATAAAAATTCTGATTCGAATTTATCCGGCATAGTGTGGACGGGGCCTGAACCAGCGACCTGGAACCTGGAACATGCGCGTCCATACCACAGGAAGACCAATCAATTTAATTATTTACCACAGGAAGACCAATCAACAAATTTATGTTTGCATGGTCGCTTAAAAGTTATGCATATGGTGTATAAGAGGGGGATTGAATGTATTGTGTCCTGTCACAATGTGAGTCCCCCCATTGGACTTCCTCGAGCATCTTTCTTACAGTCTGTGACGGCTTCTCATCAAACTATGGCCTCTTAAACAAGGCAAGCACTGCTGGAATTTAGCGTAATTCTCCTCCTATAATACCAATTCAGAACCCTCAGTAACGGAGAAACGCTGTATCACCATTAAAGCTCTAAAATGGCGGACGAAGAGCGGCCGCCAGCCCCTCCTCTCCGACTAACATCCAACAAAGATGCTATTTCTCCTGGCTCTCGTCCTCTACCAAGCGCTCCTATCGAGGAGAAAAAGAAGAAGACAGCCACTTTTAGGTTATTCCCTAACAAGGGAGAATGTATGTACCTTTTGCTGGATGTATTAGGTTTGAAATTCCTTGATATTCGCTGAGTTTCGCTTTAAAATGTGACGGCGTGTGTTGGTTCGATCCGTCTCTGTAGATAACAAGAAAAAGCCGGAAATATCCTACCCTACCCAGTTTGAGCACACTATTCATGTTGGTTTTGATCCAGTAACTGGAGAATTTACGGTAAGTTGAATTTTCAAGGATTTCCTAAGCCATTTACATGTCAAATGACGAGTCAAGTTAGTTTTCCAATAAACCATGGAATAAGAAGTCTTAGGTGGTTTTTGCTGCTGCTTGACGATTTTACTCCTCGCCGGTAATAACACTACACACCCAACCATGAGAATCAGATACTAATTTCCTTAAAGATAAAAAAACGTACAGAATGAATCTCCTTCTCCTCTACACACTGGTAAAGCTATTCGACAAAACAGATTTAAGTTTTGATAATTGGATTCGCTAAACTAGTTTATGGATTGAGGTAGAATCTTGCTAGTTTGCTGTATGTATTCCCCTTTTCCAATTTGACAACTCACAACGGCATTCAATTTGACAGCATGCAATTCCAATATCTACAGTCCCTACTTCTTTACATCTTTATTATCCAGTGTAAGAGCTTTCTCTCGACATACATTTTCTTGTAACGCGAGGATACGTAACATTGTTATGTACAAAATTGATCAAAGATTCCTATTCCCTAGTCATTCAATATTACACATCTATTCATAGTTCAAAATTCATTATTTAGAATTTTGTCTCCTTTTTTATATGTATGCAAAAAGAATCATTTTTGTTTTCTTTGGAAAGCCATTTCGATATGCCTTGACAGACTTCCCTGGCCCTATACCGTCACATTCCTTACCTGTACTTCTGCTTCGCTAAGCGTTGAAGTGAATCACTTGCTTTCTGATGGTTATTTTAATATACATAGGTGTTATTTAGTGTTTATTCTTTCTTTTGGACTGTGTTTATAGTTTACTATCTAGCAGCAACTTTAGCTTAGTCAAAATCGTTAGGCATAGCTCACAGTCGAATTACTTGGCCACTTCTAGCTTGTGTTACTACTATTCAAAGAATAAAGCATTTGATTGATCTTGTAACTGTGCAGATGAGGATTTCTTTATCTGAAGGTGTTGCTTATTGTTGTGGATTATGTCAGAATATCCAAGACCTAGCTTGAGTCTGTCTCAATTCTACTATGACTATGAAAGCAAAGATCAAATTCTTTGTCTTTGCTACTAAAATATGCACCAAGCATTACCCCCACCTGTTAAGGGCTAGCATCAGCTATTATTCATTAATACTGAGGTTTTAGTCTGCCATTTAATTGAGTTGCCTTGACATATTTTGTCAGTAAAAACCACATAAAATAGCTTGGGAACAAGAATGACTCATAAGCAGAGCAGAAGCATAATCATAATATATAGGCTACATTATGCATGCTAGGCAGGTGTACATGGAGATTTGAATCCAATTCTTTTCTGATTAGCATTGTAATAAGCTCAACCTACTTCTTTGATCCTTAGGAAGTCAAGCTCATTTCAAACTGTTGTACTTTTGTCATTAAGATTACATCCTTATAACTTTCATTTTTTCTCTTCCATTTTTAAAACTACCAGCAACAGCTAGTTATTGTTTGTGTTTATATTCATTTGTATTTTCCTTATTACCTGGATTTCTTCATTTAAGTTGATGCTAAAATATTTTCCACATATAAACGAGTTATTGTAAGGGGTCTGAATATGCAAATGTGTCTCTCGTTCACTCACTAAGATGTTAGCAGATTAATGATTAAACATTCTCCCATTGGCTTACGTCATCTTTCTTACGAATGTTACACGACAGAAATAAGTAGACGTTCTTTTAAGAAAAGATTATAATATTTGATTTTTATGTGAGGATCGGAACTGGTGGTGTTCCATGTGGGATATTTCTAGCACTGTGGATCAACTTCTTTGAATTATTTATATTAAAGAATCAAGGAAAGATGCAACTTTGAAGTAAAATAATACGATTTTATGCCTAAAATAAATTTCCAATGAGAAAAATGTTTTTGCTGATGTAAGTAAACAGAAATTTCAAGACTCATAGGTCAAGAGGTGCACAGCAAAACAATAATTGAAGTTTTTAATCAACTGAATAAATATCATCACCAGCCTTCAGTAAAGAGCAAACACTGCAATTCTTTACTCAGTAACCCTTGTACATTTATACTCAAAGGTTGCCATTTATGTAGCTAGTAAAAATTTCATTCATGACTGGAAATAATAATCTGTTTCTGAACAATGATTCTAAAAAAAATTCACTTGCAGGGCATGCCAGAAGCATGGGCAAGATTACTTCAAGTGTCAAATATTACACAAGCAGAACAGAAAAAAAATCCACAGGTTAGTGACACCTAAATACCTCCAACTATACTGTGATCTTTGATTACACCCCCACCCCTGAACCCACCTAGGGACAATAAAATCTTATGACTACATGTAGCTATAGACAGCAATTACTGGAATATGTTTAAGAATTGGTATTGTATTTCCTCATGTATAAGGCATACCTTAAAGGCTTCAAATAATTTTTTTCTATAAGGCTGTCATATGTCAGATCAGGGACAAAGGTTGCCCTGACATGCAGTCAGTCTGGTCAGACAGGAACTTCTCTAAAATACTGCAACCGGGAAAATACGCCTTCATGCTTTATGCTCCTCTGGTGATTCTGCCAGGTGAAACAACATGGCGGCTAATACTTGTCACACTGTTACTGTCCTTTCCACCAATTGGATTCACTTTTCACTCATAATTTTTGACCCTGGCAGCAATATTTGTCTTTTCGGTACACATCAGATAGACTTGAAAATCGCATTCTAAACTCATTTTAGCTCCATTCTAGAACTTCAATTCCATCCAAATGGTGATCTTTCAATTCAAAGGTTTAAATTTAGAGGTTCACAAGATAATCAGTCTCTGACTGTAATTTGTTTAAACTTGTTGAATAGATATATTATTATTATTATTATTAATTTAAGAGGTTTAACATAGATCTTGGGGTCAAGTCATTTGCCTGTACACATCAGAGAGAATTGGTATTTCACTTATCAATCAAATGCAAACAAAGCATTTGTGACCCCATAATTTTGATCTATATTATCGTAAAACTACTTTGCAACATGGTATCTTGTGTTATTTGATTGTAATATTATGTTATAACTTGAATATAGACATGTACCAAAACCAGCATACACATGTAACGAACCAATCATACGCATGTACGTAACGATCTGCCCTGAATACTGTGTAAACAACTGGTATATAGCTATTTATATTAGGAGCTGGAATCTCACTGTTCAATGTGGGATGATGTCTAGCACTGAGCTTTACCTTTAGATTATTTATATCAAAATCAAGAAAAAATCGATGCAGATTGCATCAGTTAAAACAAAAAAAAATTAGACTTCTATAAATGAACAAAAGAAGCATAAAAAGGTATGTTTAAATTTCTTTTTAATCTTGATTGAACTATAATTAATTCTTTAACAGCATTCAAGATAATTTTACAGAATTATTTAGAAAAATCAGTGAACAACAACAGAGTCTGTCAGTCTTATCATATAGACTTGAATGAAAATGATATAATATCTTTATATCAAAGATTTGAATGTTTTAAAAGATCATAAGTACTGCAAACCATTTCAGTTTTTGGTCTGTACCATAAGTTATGGACAGCAAATTGACCAATCATAGCACATGCAATTACCTTGCCATATATCAATGAGAATTAAAATCTTTGACCTCAAGATGTCAAAGTTTTTCTGTCAAACAAGTGAATGCAATTATCAGTGTTTGAAATCCCTAAAACTCAAAAAGCCTGATGTTGTTCTGATTCAAAAAAACAGCTCATTTCTGTGCGGGGCAGATGTTATTTCAGTTTAACTTCACTTCAAAAATGTGCTGAACTTGATATGTAAATTATGTATTATCTATATGTATGATTAATGCAGGTCTCAAATATCTGGGCATGAACCATTTCTCTTGAACGAATCAAAGAAAAACTTGATAAAAACTTAGAAAAGGTTTAACCCTTTGACTCCTACAAAAACTCCTACTTTGACTCCTACTTGAAAAATTCCACCTTCGACAATTTTGAGCAAGGTAGCCTGAATGCCAGTTTAGATTCTTTATTGCTAAACAGAAAAACTTCTTGAAATCAAAACATCTGGGAAAATGTCACAAATTCTAACAAAAAATCCTTTAAATATTAATCCTTTGAAAAAGAAAAAACACTGTTTTTGACATTATTTTCAAAGCCAAATATATCATTCTTTATCATTAAATCATTTTTACTTCATTTTTTTATTTAAACTCAAAAATAATGCTTGAACACAGGTAAGTTCTGACCTGACTCGTTGCTACTCCATTCTTCAATTGTTTGCATCGCAATGCCTCTTGGGAAATCCTTTAAAATTTAGGCATGAAGTCATCCTATCCTCATCTTTTTATTTTAAAAGGGTCAAGCCACTAGTTCCTATCAAGGAAATATCAGCCTCACAGCATTTTCCATGAGTCAAATATTCGAGAAAAGGCAAAGTAGGACTTGGTTGTCCTGCTATTTACGAACTTAGAGGATAATCATGCCAAAAATTCCCAAATACACCAAGTACATGAAGTACTTTTGAAGTACCAAGTACTTTTGGTGCTAAAATTGCTTGAATAATCTCAGTTCTTCTAGATAATGCTGATTTAAGCTGTCCTAGGGCTTCATGATGCCCTCTAGCACTCCATAGATGGTCAAAATGGCTCTGAAAATCTCTATTTTTTAAAATACTTCCAAATCAAGCTGCCATTGCTTTTTACAAGAAACATTTCTTTGCTGGAATATCATGCCACTGGTGAACTTTGTACTGCATTTGCATAAAATGCAGAGAATGTCAATCAAAACTCCAAATATGCTTTTGCTAGGACTTTGAGAACGATGAGGTCCAGAAAAACACTAATAAACTCCAAAAATCCGAAAAAAGGAGTCAAAGAGTTAAGCAGGATTAGGATTTGGTTGGTAATGAAATTTAAAGGGGGACTAGCATAAAAATCTTCAGAAATTTAATTCAGCTGAAACGTCAATGGAATAATCTTTAAGGCTTTAATAATCACTGGTTAAAGTTTTTTCTTTATATTCCAATGGGAAGTATTATGTTTTTACAAATATTTATGGGTGTCTGTGACGTCATACACTCAACACTAAATATTGCTCCATACATTTCTTTGTAAATAACTTCATGCTTTACTTCAATTCTATTAAGCCCAAAGGTCCGCTTAGGGACTTAACGTACATAACTTATAGTTAGGATCATTTTATGGTATTTTTTCTTCAATACGGAATATGAAACTAGAAGATATTTTGATTATAAAATACAAAGAAATGTATGGAGCGATGTCTAATGTTGAGTGTATGATGTCACAGACTCCTATAAAAATTCACAAAAATATAATACTTCCCATTCGAATATCAGGATAAAACTTTATCCAGTGATTATTAGACCTTCAAGGGTTATTCCAGTAAAGTTTCAGCTGAACTAAAATTCTTACCATTTCCATGCCAGTCCTCCTTTAAAAAAATTCATAGTAAAAAAAATCAGAAAATTTTTATGTTTAATTTGCAAAGGGGCTAAGAAAATTAATATTCACTGATGTTCTTGGTAACCCTCAGATAACAGTTCATTCCACAGGTTGATCAAGCAATAATACTTTTTGAGAAATAACTATACTTATTCCTGGTTTTGAAGAGTAATCACAGACATAATGATAATTCTTTTAATGTGTTTTTCCAGGCTGTGTTGGATGTTCTGAACTTCTATGACAGTAGTAAAGATAAAGCAGAAACAACAAAGTTTATGACCACTGTCAAACCTTATGGTAAGTATAACCACATTTTTCAACAAATGCCATAACCATTTGCATGCCAGGCTGTACAAAACTGTCATTACCTGTCAAAACTGGACCAATCAGATATCCCTATATCAAGTTTTTAGCCAATCGTTGCATAGATCAAAATTTTCTCTTGAAAATCTATTATATAAAGCAAATAGATCAGCTATGTTCTTTTATCTGATAAAACACTCCTGAAGCTGTAGAACTCTCAAAAAGGTATAGAAATCACTCGCCTATGCCTGCCGATCTCTAACATTTTTTGTGTCCTATAGCTCCAGTCATGGTTTATCAGTAAACAGAACATAGCTAAGCCTGATCTATTTGTTAACCAGCTAACATTATCGATTGCCATTTTGTCTACCCAGACTTCAATTTCCTGTCATTATGTTTTCAATTTTGTCAGTAAAAAATTCTTTGGTTAGAAACCAAAACATCCACAAATGAGACGTTGGCTGTTGATTAGTTTCCTCCACAGGCATCATTAGTTTAAGACCCTAATCCTCATGGACCCTCAAGTAAAAGACACCATTGACAAAACAATGATATTATCTAGGACAAAATGAGTAGAGCCTTATCTTCAGTATGACTTTGAGAATAGTTACCTTCACCACTTCATATATTTTGTACCTAAAAGAAGCTCCAGAAACGATTAACAACTTTCAAAAGCTGGGGCTTTGATGTACACTTTTTGATGCTTTAGGGTCTAGATAAAATCAAACTAAAGAATTAAATTTAATCCAAGATAAAAGATAAACTTTGTTTTGTGTTATTTTATAAACTAAAATAAAACTCTAACTCAATTTTTAAAAAAAACCTTCTCTTTAGAAGAAATAGATTAACTTGTTTACTAATATAATTAGTAATTTGAATATTAATATTTAATCAATAATATATATTAATAATACTAATTTTTATTATTCTAACAGTGACCCATTTTTTAAAAATGTTACTAACTTATCAATAACAACTATTAATATCCAAGGCATATTTAATACTGTGTATAAATGTATCGGCATTGATAAATGCACAGTATTTAATTTGCTGATTTTCTCTTGCATATCTAATTTAACCAAGCATGTTTTATTAACTTATAGCCTCTCACAGTCATCGTTCTTCTTCTTCTTCCTCCTCTGAACCTTCACGGCGGGGGATACCGCCAATTACTACCAGTAGCCCATCTGCTTTAGATGCAACCAAGTCACTTTCATGTTCCCCTTTTGGCTGCTCTTCGCCTAAAACAACCCAGTCATTAAACCGTAAAGGAAGCTTTCGATTAAAACTTAAACGAAGCTTGTCCAAGAAGCGCAGAAAATCTCTGCCTTCCAAAACAAATTGTAATAACTGTAAACAACACGAAGAGACAATAACAAAATTAAATGACTCTGGTCGTAAATATTCCTCTCCCACCATGTCTGGAGAACCAAGGCATGCATCACCTGAAAGACTATCATCTGCATCACGTTCAGATACGAGTTCATTAACAGAATCATCTCCTGCGTCACTTGGTGATGACTTAGAATCAACACTTAGTTTACGGTCAGAACCTCTGATTAATCATTCAGAACGTACTCCAAAAGAATCCAATAAAGGTATTCAATTGTAAATGATATTCCACACTGACTACATAAAATATAAACTACTGTTACAAACAAATCAAAAAAACATTAAATGGCTTTTCAACTTTTATTTTGCATTATATATATACTTGATTGCAGAAAGGTTGTAGTTTATATTTATGCATATATACAAATATCTAATGAGATGCAAAACTTAAAAAACTCCCAAAATATGTTTATGTACATAAATATATTTTAAAAAAAGGTTGAAGGGGTGAGGGGGTGAATGGGGATCAGTTATTGGCGATTGCAGAACCGAAAGGAATTGTGGTCATACTATAAAGGACACATCAACTCAAGGTCTAAGGCCTTCACTGAACAGTGCAGGCATTGTTTAGGTATTTAAGAAATGTTTATGAAGGAATCCTTATTACCCAACAGTTCCTTTCGGTCGTGCAATCACCAATCACTGACCGCAGTTCCCTCCTTCAACCTTTTTTGAAATAGTTGTATCTTGAAAGTTAACGAAAATACTTTTATGCCTTACTTTGATGCAAGACACATCAAATATGCCTAAAAATTCTCTAATGATAATGTTGAATAATATATATCTCATTGTGCTCAAGTCTTTTTTTTTTATTCTCTATGGATAAAACATCTCAAAAACATTTTTGCTGCGAGCTGTCAGGCAAGCAGCAACACTAATCTTGGGTTTCCTACATAGATGTTCCCCCTGAGTGAAGTTAGTATCATATAAATACCAGCTTACTTTTGACCGGTATTACCTCCTGTAGCTGTTTACCTTCCCCCTATTGCTAAGCCATTCTTTGGTTTTTATTTGTTTTTCTTATATATGTACTTGTTAGAGACAGCTATACTTGTTTTCAGTATTATTGTGGTTAGCTACATGTACAACTAAGACAAACAAATCAAATATAGAGGCAGGCTCTAGACAAACAATAACAGCAACCATAAATACCCTTCTTGCCTACTCGCAGCACTTAACTTGCAATTTGCAACGGCTACTCTTAAAATATGAATGGACTGGTACAAAGTTATTCAATTTTTTTTCATGTTTTTGCATCTAATTAGGTACTTGTTTATATGTATAAATGTATCCTACAACCTTTTTCAATCAAGGGTATATATACACACCTGTTTTCAAAAAGGTTTAGATAAAATATATGAATAAAAGTATATCAAAATTATATCAGAAATTTTAGGGTATCATCCCTGAAATTTTTTCCGAGTTGTCTATGACTCGGGGTTTTGGACACTAATTTCAGAGATGGTATCCAACAATTTCTGATATGATATGATGTACTAGGATACATATATATTTTATCCAAACATTTTTTAAAAATAGGAGTGTGAGTATAACTATAATTTATTTTAAATTATTTTTAGCGATAAATTTAAAAACTAATGAAATTTAATTTAATATTATTTTTTCTGACAGGCCTGGCCTGTAATATAGTTTATTTGTCTTAACGTCAGCTAAGGTTAAAGTTCTTTTGTTGCATGCACTTTTTTTTAGATTGTCATACAAGATTTAATAATTCTTAAATTGTGTAGAGAAAGAATGTATTCTGCACACAAACCAGTCTTTGGACTGACTATTTCATAAAGGAACAGTTGTAAAGCGCATGGTTGTGGCAAAGGCTAATGGGCTACTGGTTTCTTGCATCTTTCAGCATCAGCTCTCATCCAAACCTAGGGTCTCTTAATTTCACTCTGACAAGTATTACCTTCTATCAACTCTATTGCTTTTTATTTAAGCTTTAGTTTATCATTTATTAATGTTTTACAGAACTAACATGTATTAAGGTCACACCATCTCAGTAAAGTACCTCTACTACTTACTCATAGGAGAAAAGAACTAACCAAGTTTAAGGAATAAGAATGAGTTGGTGTTTTACGGATCAGGAAATCAGAGCTCTGGCCTTGGGAAGAATCAAAGCTGAAACAGAATTCAAAATGTTTTTGGTTTCTAATTTTCATTTGCTCACATGGATTTAAAATGATTGGCTTTCTTTACTACAAAGCTCTTTCAGAGTTTAAACCTTGCTGCTAATTTATTGTTTATTTGCCTTTAGATTGAGCACTTTTGATTTTTTCACACTACAAAAAAATTTATATGACTTAAAGCATGTTATGGTTAAGTGCAATGCTGTAGTTTAGTAACTGGTCATGCAGTCATTCTTTGGGATCTGTTGACAGCTTTAATTCTTCAGATAAAAATACACCAATATGATAGAACTATATACATAAGATGGTAAAGTAAAATAAACTATATTAACCAATTATTTACTTTAATCAGGACTTTAATCATAATGTCACCTTTTAAAAGGAAATCTTTAAATATTCTTTAAAACTCTCGTTTGGATTTCTGTTTTTCTTGACAAGTATTGGTGTATTTAGACAGCCAAAGTCTTTGATTTCATTCCATATCTTTTATTGTTGTAAAGATACTGTTTTGCTAAGTGAAGTAGAAATCTAGTACTATACACCATAGCTAACATAGCTGGTGAATCTAAAGGCGTCGAAGAATGCACTAGCACACAGTAACATTGATATTATGATGACAAATGCATGTTGTGGTTGAACAGGACAAACAACTCATGCAAGACCCCAGATTGATAAAGAGACTTATGTTCCACCACCACCACCACCTCATGCAACAGCTACTAATGTGAGTAGAAAAACAACAATATGGTATGTATTATGTCTGAAACAGCACAGAATAACTGTGCCGTCTTGAATGCAGCATTTTCTGCAATGTTAACATATTGTGACATTATTCTAAGAAGTGCCCTATTTAAATAATCCTCCCATTAAAGTGGATATCAACATGAAATAAGCATGTTGTACTACTTCAACTTTATTTCTGATAAGTGGGTTGTTACCACAAGAAACATTAAGAAGGGATCTTTATGAGTTTTTTTGCACTTGAAGCTATAGATAAAATAACAAATGTAAAGCTACCAGAATAATATATCAAGAGTGATATTGTCAAGAAAGATAACCAACATTGTGTATTGATTGGGAAATAGGCTACGGCACCACAGCAGAACCATGCAGGACAAGATGAAGAAGCATTACCACCAGCAATCCCAACACGGCCTGAAATTACTAAATCTAAGGTATGACAATACAAGAGGCCTGTCGGGCAATGTGAGCATAACATTTAAACTTTTTAAGCCATATGTCATTCCCCTGAGGATGGTATTCCTTCTTCAAGCTCCATTTGTAATGGTGTGTCATCTCAAGCATAACAGGGCCCAACAAAGCACCATACTTAAGGGAATGCCATGTGATATGAAATGGTAAACAGTATTTGTTTAATATTTCTTATTTTTAGATATTTCTATCTTTCTATTTCTATTAATTTATTCTATTTCTGTGAATCCCAAATGTCAGCTAAGATTGACTTGACATACATATAACTTATGATTGTAATTGATTTTTCATCTATTTTCTTTGATACTGAGTATGAAACTAGCTGATATTTTGAACACAAAATACAAAGAAACATAAATTACAAGTCTTAAAACTTACCTTTTATTGGCACAATCAAAAACTCCCAACTATTTTCAATCATTCTTTTCAGTATGCAAAAAATATACACAAATACAAAACTGCACATTACGCTTCAAAAGATAATTTCCATAAGCCTTGCTTTTGTACTAACACTGGCAGACAGACTTTTCTTTCAATAGTAACAATATTTTGGCAGGATTGACCCCCTGAATTCAAACAAATATTTATATACTGTTTCAAAAAAGGGTCAAACAATATCTACCAAACAAAATTATTTGTCCTGTGGAAAAAAACTAAATTGATTCACTTTCAATATTTGTCTTCCTCTTTATTTCTCGTTCTTGTTATGTCTTTTCGCTTTGCCATGGCACATTTGTCACCTCCGCTTTTCTGCTGCTTTTCTTTTTGTGTTACTGTCTGAAGCTTTTGAATAAAATTATAATTTAAATTGCCTAGGGTCCAACTTTGAAAACCTTACGGTTCCTTTAGCCTCTAGTCATTTCCTTGAATGTAAAGCATTTTTTTTCATGAGAGATAATGTAAAATAAAGCTAAATTATGCACTAAAAAATATATACAGTGATATGCAGAAATTCTGATCCTTTTGTACAAGTATATCAAAAGTATATCAGAAATTATGGGATATCATCCCTGATATTTTTTTCGGGTTGCCCATTTGTAGGGCTTTCTGAAAAAAATATCAGACATGGTATCCCATAATCTCTAATATACTTTTGATATAGTTTTGTGTATATACAAAAGGATCAGAATTTCTGCATATCGCTATATACACTCGATTGCAGAAATGTTGTAGTATACATTTATACATTTATACAAATATCTAATGAGATGCATAATGCAAAATAACCATTTTCAACGCTTAAAACCAACTGATTTATAATCTGTACGATCTAAAAGACAAGAAAAAAATATTTTGACAGTCATTGAATGAAACAAATGATAAATAAAGCGAATTTTTCTGTTTTGCATATCATCTGAATAAATTAGATATATGTATAAATGTATACTACAACGTTTCTGCAATCGAGTGTATATATGTATATATATACGTATATATATACGTATATATACAGCGATATGCAAAAATTCTGCAAAAGTCAAGAATATCTATATATCCATATATAAACTAATTTCCAGATTTCCAGATTTTTTAATTATAACGATTTTGAACCAAAAGTTAGCCAAATATCTAGTATTAATGCTCACAATGTACACTATGATTATATTTCACTGAAAACATTGTATTTAACCTTGATTAAAACGTTTTTTTGAATTGATAATGTAATTGAAAATTACCCATAATGCACACGATATATTGGTATACCGTTATTCATTTTATTTACAGAATTTTTGCAAAGCGCTGTATATATATATATATGGAAATGGAAAATAAAGATTATTATTATTATTATTATTATTATTATTATTGTTAATATTAGTTACCATAGCAGTGTTCTTCACAGAATTCACTAGAAATTGTTCAACTGCAAAATGATTGGTCA